CACATTGACCTTATTCTGGTCATTGTCCAATGATCTGTCCTTCTCTCTCACTCTCTGTCTTCCTTTCCCTTTGTTTAGTTGCTGACAAAGCTGCCTACCTGATGGGTCTAAACTCAGCTGACCTACTCAAAGCCCTGTGCTATCCTCGAGTCAAGGTCGGGAATGAATTTGTGACCAAAGGTCAAACTGTGGAACAGGTAAAGAAATCATAAAACACTTGGCTTGAATGAAGACTTTCTTCTTTTGTTCGAAAAGGTAACTCCCAAGACTCACTTCTTCTATGCCTTAGGTGAACAATTCAGTCGGTGCTCTCGCAAAAGCTGTCTATGAGAAGATGTTCTTGTGGATGGTCRTTCGTATCAACCAACAACTGGACACCAAGCAACCCAGACAGTACTTCATTGGTGTGCTGGACATTGCTGGCTTTGAAATCTTTGATGTAAGGAGGAAGGTTTTGGCATTGCTTTTGTGGGAGGGTCAAGGAGCAGTCATAAGGATTCAGAAAGGTGTTTCTTTTTACGAGAATTCATTAGCATATCTTCATCATTTGTAGTTTTCTGGAATCTCCTTTTCACACTTAGGACTGAGGTTCACAGAGAGCAGGGCCAAAGGTCTGGATATTCTTGGAGAGACTAAGCAAAGGGTTATGCTGTTAGAGAAAGCACAGCATATTTCCCATGTTGTTTGTGAAGCTGTGGCCACTGATGCACCTTGAGCACCTGTCCACCTCTCTTTGCATTTTACAGTTCAACAGCTTTGAGCAGCTCTGCATCAACTTCACCAATGAGAAACTGCAACAGTTCTTCAACCACCACATGTTTGTGCTGGAGCAAGAGGAGTACAAGAAGGAAGGCATTGAATGGGAGTTCATTGACTTTGGGATGGACCTGGCTGCCTGCATTGAACTCATTGAGAAGGTACCTATTCCATCCATGTCTATGATTTTGTGATGTTTCTAGGCCAGATTCAGCTGACAGAAAATCCTTCACACTCACACCCAGACATTCAGTACCAGGCTAAACCTAATCTCTTGTCTTGAAATTTATTTTATCTTGAGGTAAGGAAAGAAGGACAAGCGCAAAAYTGTGTCATCAGTCCCCTCTTGCCCTGTCTTCAAGCATGGAAAAGATCCTCCCAGTAACAGAATTCTTTGATAGACTACAGTTGTTCTCCTTTCTCTTTTCCTCAAAGAYAAATTTGAAAAATAAATACCGTCTAGACTAAATTCMCAAAACAGGGCATCTCCTGCAGCTGTTCATCCACTTATTTTTCTAAACGCGCCTACTGACCGTACTGCCCTTTCTAACTAGAGCTGCACCAATACTCTTACCGAWTCCRTGAAGACAGGCTCCTGGATGTGAAGGGAAGGGGAGGCAGAAATAAGTTTACTGACCAAGAACAAGCCCTGACAGACGCAGGCCTAAGACCTATACTTAGGTTCATGGCCTAAGTCTCGCAGCATCGTAATCTTTCTTTGGCTTTTCTTATGATGTCTTCCAGCCCATGGGCATCTTCTCCATCCTGGAAGAGGAGTGCATGTTCCCCAAGGCAACTGACACCTCTTTCAAGAACAARCTCTATGACCAGCACCTGGGCAAGTCCAACAACTTCCAGAAGCCCAAGCCTGCCAAAGGCAAGGCTGAGGCCCACTTTTCCCTGGTGCACTACGCTGGCACAGTGGACTACAACATCTCTGGCTGGCTTGAGAAGAACAAGGACCCCYTGAAYGAAACTGTCATTGGGCTCTACCAGAAATCATCTGTGAAGACACTGGCCCTACTCTTTTCTGCCTATGGTGGGGAAGCAGGTAAGCTCTTTAAAATCCACGTGGAGCATCTGTTCATAATAGAAATGGGGGATCTCCAAGGTAACATTAAAAACATGTGTTCTTTACCTTCACTTTTGCAGATGCTGGTGGTGGAGGCAAGAAGGGTGGTAAGAAGAAGGGTTCTTCTTTCCAGACCGTCTCAGCTCTTTTCCGGGTAAGCACAGAGTTCACTGGCTTTGAGAAGTGTCTTTGAAAATGCAGAGTAAACTCTTTACCATTTGTAAAAAGTCTTTTCAAAAACTTTTGATTTCGCAAGATGGTAGAATTCATAATCCAAGATTCAAGAAAAAAAA